ACACACACACACACACACACACACACAGAGAGAGAGAGAGAGAGAGAGAGAGAGAGAGAGAGAGAGAAACAGAGAGACAGAGACAGAGAGACAGAGAGACAGAACAGACACAGAGAAACAGAGAGAGACTCACACAGAGAAATAGTATGTTTTCAGACATAGAATGACCCTGAAAATAGAAAGGCAAAACCAGCATTCCCCTGTAATCTTTCCTCTAGTCTTGTTCTATGCATGCATGGCTGTTCTTTTTATAAAGTGCTCCATATGTATCAGCCACTGTGCTAAGCACCAACCTCGCTGAGCAACAATCCTCTGACCATAGAAAGGTGTTGTTATTATTTGAGAGACAAACAACCCAGATTGGTTGAATAACTAGATAACTAGCTGAGGTTTATATGGCTAGTTGACTGTGAAGCCAGGTTTAGAGGGCTATCTAACAGATTCCAGAATTCATACTGTGTTGTCTATCTCTGTGTGTTTACTCACGACTCAGTATTTCTGGAGAGTCTGTCAACACTAAACTCCATACCTACTCATGTTCTTTGTATAAAGGATAGATGTAGTGCTTACATTTTATCTACACATGTTCTCCTATGCATGATATATCATTTCTAGATTGCTTATAATATTTAACACAATGCAAATGCTATGTAAATATTTGTTAGATGATATCATTTATAGAATCACAAGGAGAAAAAGTCTGTACAGCACATACTCATTTTAAAAACTACCTTTCAGAAATGTTGGTTTGATTGAAGGAATATGTAACTCATGAATATAAAAGGCCTCCAACCATATACATACATATATAACCATAACCCCACAACCAAGCAATGATGACTTACATTAATATTTTAGTATTTTTTCTCATATATTTCTATTTATTTCTCTTCTATTTGGGATAATACTATACATGTAGCTTGATAGCTTCCTATTTTAACTTGCTTAATTTAGAATTTAATTTCATATTAATAAAGTTTTAGAAAATACATTGTTGTATTTGAATATACCAAGCATATCATTTCAATGGCCTCAAATTCTTCCATCATATATATAAAAAATACTCATTAAAGCAATCTCTGATTTATACTGTTTTCAGTGAGAACTGTTTGCTCCATGTTTTGTAATCTTACTAGTTTCATAAAGTAGAATGAACAAGAATGAACACATAAATATATGTAATTTTTAGAGAATTAATATATAATGTTTTTAGAAAGTATCAGTTTGGGCCTTTAGTAACAGTCCTCTGTCACATTTACTGGCATTATTAGATGTTACATTATCTCTGCTGATCTGGTAGACATGGACAAATATTATTATTTTAATAAGAATTTTATTGCTAGCTGTCTAAATTTATTTTTATATATTTACATGCCATTTAAACTATTCTTTGAATCATACATCTTTTTTTGCTTTTCCATTAGAGTTGTGGCATTTGCTTTATTGATAATAATAATTGAGACATCAATTTTATTGTATTTGTTGTATATGTACAGATCAAATTATTATATTTGTTATATATGTATCAATTAGGAGCTTTAAAATAGGTGAGAAGATATGAGTACCTTTAACAAAAACCCCAGCATTTTGGAGAATTGTCCCTTTAATAGCTTTATTAGCAATGGGGGGATAGATGATTTGACAGAGATATCAGTCTCTGTCAAAGAATGTGCAGTCCACACCTCCAGAATAATCTATGGTGGCTTGAGACCTTTGACATTCTGTTGGGAGTATTCTCAATTCTCTTATAAGTGTACAGAAGTAAACTGGTCCATGAACACTGTACCAGTGTTCTTAGCTACATTTGAAACCTCATCAATAGAGGCTCCATGAAGGCACAAGAGCCTCCCACATCTCTAGTTCCCACAAGATGCTCATTTCTTATGGAAGTCCTGGAAGCCACAGAGTGCTCCAAACAGGTGCACTTAAACAGCTTCCCTATATCCTGTTTCTCATTCTCAGAATGTTTTTTCTAAATCACAGTACTAGAGCAGATGGGCATGACTTACTACTTAGCACAAACTCTGAAAATCAGCTACAAGCAGCCACAAGGCAATAATTGCCAGGTACTCTTTCCAACAAGTAGGCTCAGTTTGGTCTTTAACTTTTTAAAAAGCCTACAGTGTATTTAATTTTACCATCTAAATAAGTTCTTTTTATTCAGGCCAGTTCTCCTTCAGATCCATCCTAAGTCAAGCCGGTGTCTTACAGCTCCTCTAATTGTTCACTTTGTGGACATCAGTTACCACCCACTTTACAGCTTACTGTGACTCCTTGGTAGGTTGGCCCACAGTAAAGTACAGATAGTGATCTATACAAGCCCTTTTGTCTAATTGAATTTCCCCAAATGCCAAAGTAAACTTCCTCTTTGACAAATTTTGCTATATATATATTAATGTTTTCCCTTCTCCCCCTGCCCCCAACTTCCACCTTTTCTCCCATGTCCCATTTGTCTCATTTCTTATCTTTCCGATGTCTGTTTGGCCTGTCATTTTTTTCACAAGTATATTCACTTGATTCATTTCTACTATCACTAACTACTGTTGATGCCTCTTATCTACAGTAGATCCCTGAAGAAATTCCTCAGCACTCAAAATATTGATGTGGCCACAAGAGAAAACACAGCCAGATTTCACCAGCAAAAGTAAATATGTATCTTTCTCACTCATCCAGGTTGTGATAATGCGTGATTACCACCATGACAATGTAGTTGATATGTATAACAGCTACCTTGTTGGAGATGAGCTCTGGGTGGTCATGGAGTTTCTAGAAGGTGGTGCCTTGACAGACATTGTCACTCATACCAGGTAAGACAGATGAGTCAAAGTACTACTTCAATAACTTCCTCCATAATTTCTTCACAAATTATTGATACTGTGTACTCAAGAAATACAACCCCTAGAGTGCTCATTATAAAATCATGCATACATAGACCATTAATTAAATTAATTCACACACGCACTCTGGATGTCACCAGTACACACTGATTCAATTTCAGAAGCCTACTGAGAATGCCATTTTAGTAACAAACAGCAGAACTTCTCAACACTAACATAGAGTTTACTAACAGAGTTTTATCCTCCTGAGTTGCTCTGCCATGTTCTTATTGCTAACTCTACCAGGGCTGCCTAAGGACAGAAGAGAACAGCAGAAAATCAAATTTTTATGTTACTTCACTAAATTGAACCTGTTAGGAAATAAATATTCCTCAATTCTAGTTGAATTTAACATGATTGTCTTCAGTATGAGAGTTCACTGACATGAATTTGCACTAATTCCACAAAGCTAACAAGTGTGGTCACTTTCCTTTGACTTATATTGTGCCCCTGAAATGCTCAGTGCCAGGATTTATTCTGTAATAATCATGTCCCAGTTACTTCATTTCCTTTATTTGGAGATTTTCTGGACAAGGGCTAGAGACATACACTAGTTCTCCAAAAACCTAAGAAAGTGGCACCCCTTGAGTATTAGAAAGCTGTACCTAAACCTGTCTTGATCCTTACATGTTATTTCCTTTCTAGAATGAATGAAGAACAGATAGCTACTGTCTGTCTATCAGTTCTGAAAGCCCTCTCCTACCTTCATAACCAAGGAGTGATTCACAGGGACATAAAGAGTGACTCCATCCTCCTGACAAGTGATGGCCGGGTAAGGTTTTCATGTTGGGTCCCCTTCAGTTGAATTTGTCAGATTGCCTGTCATGGGCATTATTCTATAAAGCACACTTTCTCACAATTCTAATTTTTGTTAGTCACATATCACCCACTCCACTTCCCAGAACTCACAAAGAGGAAATTGCCTTTCCTCTGTATCATCCTGTTACTCAGAATTACTGGTGACCTGAAATTGATGAAGAATTTGTATCTTCTACAATGAGAGTAGGAAGTAATGGAGACTATGGGAATTTCTTTTATCTTTCCACTGTATTCTTTTTTTGCTAGATAAGAGGAGCTGGCTGTTATTTAGCTGTATCTACTCTCTTCCTTTGAATATGCCTAGCTTTGAGATCTCCAAGTCCCTGTGAGAAACAGATGACCAAGTCTTCTTGACTAATTTGAGAAATCATTATTGAAGATAGTTTACTAATATGTGAACAGACATAGAAAAATCATAACAAACAAGCCAGGAAGATGAGTGTAGTATTCTGAAGTAGACCACCATTGTTTTTACACCATGCTGAAGAGTTTGTTAAATTTGGGGCTGCTGGATAGGAGCTCTGATTTTTGGTAGAAGTCAGAATATCATTAATTTGCAGGATGAAGCTTGAGAATAAATGTCCCCTTCACTCTACTCATTGTTTCCAATCTCATAGAAGTGTCTGTGTGGTCAGTGTATGCTGGTTTCAAAAGGCTCAAAGAATAAAAGCAAAGGCATCTTGTTTAAAAGGGCAAAGAAAAAGCATTTATTGTACTATGTTTCTCTGCCTAGACTTCTGCATTTCTCATCAAAATAATCTACATAAGAAATTCTGTTGAAGGACAGAAGTCAACAGAATATAGGCTATGTGAAAGCCAGAAATATAGCAAACTCACATTTCAAGGACATTTTAGGGAGAAGAGTCTTGACACATAGATTGTCACTATGTAGGCCCTTCTCACACCTCTGTTATTCTCACCAGAGGAAATGAGTTGGGGGTGAAGGTAACCAGAATCTCTTCAAGGTATCTGTGTTTTATAATCCAGGAACTTCAGAGAGATGAAAAATGTCTGTGTCATATCATAATTTGCTGAAGAACAATCAGAGATGAGCTGGGAGAAACTACCCACCCACTTGGGCTTATCTAGTTTTATTTTCAAAAGCATCTAAGTTTTATTATAGATAAATTAGTAAATTTCATAAACTGCAGAGGACAAAGATCACTCATAATCCTATTACTTAGTTTCCATGTTTCTATGTACATGTATATATGATTATGATTTGAGGATTATGGATAAATAGTTTTAATTATTATTTTTGTCATTACTCCATTTAAAACTTTTTTAAAGGAACATTACAAGAACATGCATAAGTCAGCTTTGTTATACAACAAACCACTCAAGACTAAGTGGCTTAAAACACTCATCATGTATTTATTCAGAAATGTGTGGGTCAATAGTTGAGTTTCATCAGCTAGGACAACTGGTCTCTGCTCCATATGCCACCATATCCTCACACATGTGAGCAGCCTGCAGCTGATGGTCTCCATCACCTTCTTGTAGTTGCTGGTTTTCAATCAGGCTGGAGTGAAGTTTCTCCCAGCACAGCTCTCTGATCATTCTTCAGCAAATTTTGATGAGACATGAACATATTCCATATGGCAAATGTTATCTCTACCCCATTCTGAAGCAGCCAATAAGAAAGTGACGGAGACCATCAGTTGCAGGCTGATCACAAGCTGATGGTCTCCATATGTTTTGTAGTTGTCTGGCTTTCAGTAGGGATAGAGTGCTAATGGGGTCTTGTGTCACCCATCTCCCAGTAGAATTGCCCTGCATAATTCACATATTTCTTGTGACAGTGTTCCCAAAAAGTATCATGAGGGGCAAACCCCGATACAGATGCAATGCATACATGTGTGCATTACAATTCTCACATTATGTCATCTTAGCTAAAGGAAGCCACACTTTCAACCAAGCTCAAATTCAAGGGATGGAGAATAAACTGCCCTTCTTGCTTTTTCTGAATACACATATATGTAATGTGTCTGTGGGTGCTCCCATGTATGTGTGTGTGTGAGTGTGTGCATGCTGGTACATGTGATTATGTGCATGCATGCATGTGACAGCCTAAGTCTGATGTTTGGGAACATTCCTTAACTGCTTTCCCCTTTCTTCGAGGCAAGGTCTCTCAATTGAACCCAGAGCTTGTGGGCATAAGTTTCTATCCCCACAAGCAGCTCCCACATAACCACACAGAAGCTTAATATTAATTATAAATGCTCAGCTAAAAGCTCAGGCTTGTTACTAGCTAACTCTTATATTTAAGTTAACCCATATTTGTCATCTATGCTTTGCCACATGGCTTGGTGTCTTTTCTCAGTATGGCATGTCCATCTTGCTTCTTTCTGCATCTGTTCCCAACTCCCAAGATTCTGCCCTTCTTCCCAGCATCCTCCTAGGCTGGCTCTCCCACCCAATCTCTTTCTGCCCAGCTATAGACCAGTCAGATCTTTATTAACCAATGAAAGTAATACATATTTACAGTGTACAAAGATTGTTCCACAGCAAGAGCTTGCTGATATGACTAGTTTAGCTAACCGGCTTGCCCCATGGGATTCCTTGTCTCCACCTTTCAATGTTGGAATTACAGGAGGGCCATCATGCTCATGTGGCATTTATATGGGTTCTGTGGACCTTACTTACTGTCCTAAGACTTGCAGAACAAGTGCTTCATTTTCTCAGCCCTTGCCCCAGTCTTCAACAGCTCCTCTTGATGGGATAAAGTACAAAGTCATACTATACTGCAAAGGGATGCAAGGAAAAAAAATGCATGTTTATAAAGAAGAGGAAGTATAGGAAGAGGGCAAGAATCCACCCCATCTGACTCAGAAAGCACGTACGTAAGACCTCATAAACACAAATCACATCAAACACTAAAGCAGTCCATGAGTCACCTCTGACAATGGTACTTGAAAAAACAAAAACTCAGGGCAGTTTCAGGCTAAGCACTTTCCCTGTGTCTGGAGATTGGCAGTGGAGCGTCTTGCTGGAAACATCTGATTTGAAGTCACTCGGGGGAGTAAAATAATAGGACAGCATTTAATCAGCTTAATTAAAAAAATTTTTACCTCTGTTCAATATACAAGATTATTAATCTACTCAGTTGCTATTCTCAAGGGCAGAACCTGTGTCTCAAGCATCCCTGCACCTCTGTGTACCCAGCAGAGCATACAGGAACAGGAACATTGTGAATGCTACTAAGCCTGATGATCTGTGCCTGCATTATTTTATGAATGCTTATTATGTGCTAGGAATGTAGAGATCCTAAGGATGAACAAGAGAAAGTCCTTATTTCATTAAGCTACATCATTTGGGATGTAGGAATGTAATAATAATAAACCCACAGATAAAGTAATAAATAATGTGACTATTTTATTGCCTTGCTGGGAAAGATAGCTCAGTAGATAAAATGCTTCCTGCAAAAATATGAAAATATGAATTAAGATCTCTAGAATCCCCATAAAAAGCCAGGCATAGTGATGCATCTTTGTAATCCCAGAAGTAGGAGATAGAGACAGGAGGATCCAAGGGCTTGCTGTCCAGCCAGACTACCTAAGTGGTGAACCTCAGGTTCAGTGAAAGATCCAATTTTAAAAAATAAGTGGAGAGAAACCAACAGAGTAAAACACCTAAGATTGACCTCCTGCCTCCTCACTTGCATGAACAGGTGTATGCAACCCTTCTCACTTTATGGAATAAATGTAAAGGACTTGTTCTATGCAGACTCTCAGACACCCTCCACAGGGTGAAATCTTAGTTAACCACAGTGATACCTTGCCAGGTAGCTAATTCCTGATTAGCTGTTTTCCCCTCCTTCTTATACTTACCTATTTCACTGCCAGGGCTTCTTACATTGCCCAAATAAGTGTCCTACCTGAATTTTTGCCTTGGAATGTGCTTTTGGAGGGAAATGCCAACTAATGGGGTGCATATAGATAATGTAATGTGTAGATGTATCCAACAGTCTTATTAAATAAGAAACACAGAAACAATGTAAAAGAGAAAGCCAAGAGGTCAGAGCTCAGAGCTAAAATCTCACCCTTCCTCCTGCTGTCCCAGCTTCCCGAAAAAGAGCTATTTCCTGTGTGTAAGTTGTTTTTCTAGTCATTCTGCCTACTCATTGGTTGTAAACCCAAACACGTGACTGCCTCATCACTGTCTGAATGTACACCCCCCTAGGTCTTAAAGGCATATGTCTCCAATGCTGGCT